GCAACTTTAGGGATCTTATCTATTCACGAACAGCTTGTAACACTCCAACGAGAAAGGAAAACTTGAAATCGCTTCATATGACCCCTTTAAGATTTTTGTGGCCTAATGTCAGTAACCTGTTCCTATAAATTGTATAAACCAGCACAGTAGCAACATAGCTGTGTAAATATGACCTTGTGACCTATTTGTTGTGGGCTACTGAAATACAGATTCATTGTACAGTATAAGAAGCCAATAAAGTGAGTTTTGCACCCTGCAGTAGGGCACATAAAGTATTCTGTGTGCCATTTCATGACCTGCAGGAGTTTGCCAGCTCAAATTCTCTGCTTAGTCAGACATAAAATGCTTTCCTTCTGCATTGTGGCAAAAATTGAGATTTCTTTCTTTCTTTTTTTTTTTTTGGAGCACTGGAGCACGTGACTGTGCATGCAATGATTATTTTATTCATTAAAAAATGTATTCATTTTAGAACACTGAAAGTTTTTAAACAAACAAGCTTAATTTATCTTCTGAAGCAGTGATTTGCATTAATAGTTGTTTTAATTTGCACTTTATAAAATAAATAAAAAATGAGTCTTCTGGCATCTCTAAAAGCATGTTGTGCTGTCACTACCTGAATTGCTTTAGTGTCTCTTTTTTGAACATTTTGTACTCAAAGCCTGTGAACATGTTTGGTTTTATATTAGAAAAAGCGAGGGGATTACGTCTCTTGCCTTAAATGATCTCACAGGCTTTTACAGTGACATAATTTGAAATCTTACATCTGTTCATCTTCTTAGATACTCAGCTGTTGCTTTGTTACCTTATATTTTTCTGGCTTGTGAAAGAGTACACAGCCAAACCTGCGCTTTTTCCCTGTGTGTGTTTTGCCGTCTCCCTCAGCTGGTGTCGAGCTGAATGCTTTCATCTGTACAGCTGGTGTGAGCAAGCATTTGCTGGAGTGGTCTTTGAAATCAAAGTCTGCTGGTCATTATTTCCACACGATTCAGTGAGTAAAGGCACACGTCTGTTTAAGTGGCATCTCTGCTGTAATGGTGGAAGTGTTGAATCACTCTCAGATAATGAGACCGTGTTTTTATGTGTTGATGTTGTAGGTGGGAGAATTTATGAAGCTGTAGGATTTTAAATATTGTTTGTAAATGCAGGTATCACTGATTTTGTTTCTCATATTTGAACAAACCCCTAACCTTACATATTAAACGTTGGCATTTAACTTATCCCACACAGTCTGGCTATAAATATGAATATTGTCGCAATAGTAGTTTTACATGAAATGCATATACAGTCTACAAATAATTATAAATATTAATATGAAAAATGTAATAAAATATTAATGTATATAAATTATTCTCTGTATTCTCTCTTGTAATTGAAAGAATGTGAATTTCTCTTTTTTTTTTTTTTTTTTTTATATACACACTATATTTCAAAAGTTTAGGGTCTCCGGATTTTATTTTATTTTTTATTTTAATGTTTTCTGAGAATCCTGAAAAAAATTATGTATCACAGTTTCCACAAAAATATGAAGCAGCACAACATTGATAATAATAATAAATGTTTCTCGAGCAGCAAATCAGCATATTAGAATGATTTCTGAAGGATCATGGGACGCTGAAGACTAGAGTAATGATGCTGAAAATTCAGCTTTGATCTCAGGAATAAATTACATTATTAAATATATTCATATGGAAAACAACTATTTTAAACTCTAACATTTTTACAATATTAGTGACTTTATTGTATTTTTCAAATAAATGCAGCTTTGGTGAGCAGAGGAGACGAACACCTTTGAAAAGTATATTATTTTTAAATAACAGCTCATGCTGCCTGCTTTAACTGAAGCACTTGCATGTGAAATATTTGCATTTTATTATTTTATTTTTGTACATATAATTCCTCCTTCATGAAAATAACTTCTCAAATTTGTTTTGGTCTGAGTTTCTGACTTCTTATCATCAGTGCACGAAACATAAAACCGTAAATGCAGCAGTGCATGCGCTGCCCTCTTGACCAGCGCTGCACAGAAGCGTTTAGACTGTTGAAGAAAAATCACTCCAGCCAAAGTGCTCGGCCCATGACCCCATCGTATGGACCTCAGATTAAACAATTTCTCTTGGCCAGGGGTGAAAGCAGCAATCTACCAATCTCTTGTGAGCCGGCACAGTCAGGCAAGATTGGGACCAAAAAGTAGCTTTTCGCCTCAGATTTATTTCGGTCACCTCATCAGAGGTGGGTTAACAGGTGGCTACAGCTCACACAATACAGCTGCGTGTGGGGATCAGTGTGATCGTAATGATTATTAGCAGCTGTCAAAGCTGTCACAGAGCTGGTGCTACCTCAGATCTATTGTGGAATTCCTCCAGCTTCCTCCTTACGGGTATTTTTTGGGAGCCACAGGTGTGTGTTTAAATCTTTCAGCCCTCTAATGCTAAAGGAAACATTCACTTGATGAATATTTTTTTAAAAGAGTGAAATTTACTGTAAGTAGTTATGACAATATGGACTGCTTTTATGGTTCTTTTAAATCATTTTAATTTTGGTATTTTTTTCTGAATTTAATTCATTTTCATAATGTTCATTTTTTTAGAGCCTGACAGATGGAAAGTATAAATTATTTTATGGAAAGAGCTGCATAATTTCTCAGAAATTCGCCTTTTGTGTCCCACAAACTACAACATGAAAGTGAGTAAAGTCTGACAATTTTATTTTTATTTTATTTTATCTATTTATGGAACTATTTTATCGGAACATAATGTACAATATATACCTTTTTTATGGTTCTTTTAAATAATTGTCACTTGTATATTTTTCATAATTCATTTTCATAAGGGACTATCAGACTCTGATTATAAAGTTATTTAAAAAAACCTTTCAGCAGAAGGAAAATTCAGCCAAGAGCTAGTTGTAAAAAAAAATGCACTATTCTATGACCCGGATGAAGTGTGGAATGTTGGACATTT